TGTCCCAAGCGCCTGGTGCTGGAGGACACAAGCAGTCTCACCATCAGCAGGCCACAGCTGACTCCAAGCCTAAGCACCACGGAAAGCCAGATTTCTGAAGGGGGACTTCGGCACTTTGCTCGGATATCAGGTAGTTTTTATTTCTTTTTTCCCCAAAAACTGACTGACTGTTTAAATGACTAAGTAACAAAACTGAATAGAAAATGTTTATCTCCTTTTAATGCAAAGGAAGCAACTTGCCTTTCAGCATTACGGCATTAAGCCAAACAAGCCTTTGTCACGGTCCACACAGTGAACTCATGATGGTTTGTTTGCTGTGATCCCAAAGTGCAAAATTAAGGCAACCAATTATATACTAATCAATTATATACTAATGAGAATTTGGCAAAGTACTGGGCAACTTCTTAATCGGAAACGACCAAGTGGTCAGTCATGAAACGCTATCTAGTAGGATCTGCCTTGACAGATGTTTTTATGCAGTAAGTGCTTTAATATGCACAATATCTCGTGTCGCAGATTAAGACTGGAATATATAGTTTATGTCTCCTTTGTGAAAACCTGACTCATTCTGGTAGGTATATGCTAGGCTTCACTGGGAGTGCCATCTGACTGAACGATCTCCAAATTGGCTCAACACGCAGGCATCATTTTTTATTGCTGTCATGAAAATCAATTACAACTGTACCTACTAATACCACTGCAAACACTGTTCCAACTGCTTCTGCGATGGCTGTATAGCTAACCACTGCTAACAGCCTCAGTTCTAAGAAAAATATAATATCCAGATTTTACTGCCCCCATTATAGTTGACTGTTTCAATAATAAGCTGATTAGTGAGAACAACAAGGGGTAAAAGAAACAAACAACAAGGTTTGGTTGCTAACGAAACTACTGCAATACATATTTTTAAAAATTACAGAAAAAACAGTTGCTTATTCTAAGAAGCAACCCCCTGATTTCTGTGAGCTAACAGAGTAGCAGCAGGAGAAATCAATCCAACTCGTTTTGTACTTCTGCATGGAATTTACTGGAACGCAAGTTTGCAGAGCCACACTTTTCAAACACATAATCAATGTCCAAACAGCAACCCAGCCCAGTTTCTGGAGATATATTTATTCCTCAGTATGACCATCATAAAAGAACTTCTCTGAAAGAAGGTTGTTAATTTAGTAGCTAAGTAACATTAAATAGCGTTTCTTACGAAGTGAGGCTCTTTTATTACTTAAGAGTACTAAAATATATATATAACATGCAGAGAAAACAAATTGATTACTGTATTTTAGGGACAAATGTAGGAGTGCAGAATATACCTTTGCAATTTGTTTTAAACCATGATGAAGCCAAGGAAAAAAGCTGGAAGTCCCCAGAGCACATGATTACAGAATTTGATCCATCAACATACAAGTACTAGTTTCTGCAAGCTCACATACATTTAATTTTAAGCATATGGGGATTTTTCAAGAACTTCCATGCACAACTTTTTACTTCACTGAAAAACTACAAGTGTTCAGGTATTTTTCCAGTTCTTCAAGATAAGATTTTTAACGTGCTGTATTGGCAATATGTTAGCTTCCTGAAAAATGAATCCAACCTTTTCACCAGCTGGTTTTTTATTCTATTTCACTTTTCCAAGAAAACCATTAGCAGAAGAAGGAAACAGTAAGTATAATTCTAAATAGGGAACCAGAAATTAACATAGCATGTGGATTCTGACAAAGAAGTTGCAGCTCTGATAAGCTGTATTTTGGCTTTAATGACAGCCTTGGGGCATCCATGTGTGTACATGTAATAAATCACCCCACTGAAAAGATTATTACTGAGGAGGAAAAAGCTTTCTTGATAGCAATTACACTAAACTGTTCGAATTAGCATACCCACAGATGGTTCTTTGTTGCCCTACATACACATTAGAGAGAAGAATGTTTCATTACATTAGTTCACTCACTTGAAAGGAAAAAAATCAGGATCTGGTTATTAATCACACTAATACTACACAGGCTTTGTAAACTAAGGAGGCTTTCGACTGCAAAAACAATGTAGAACAAAAGTTAATTAGGCTTTCAAAGGCAGTGAAAGCTGGACGACAGCTAGGTGAAAACAGCAGTCTCTTAGCTGCAGGCAGGGATTCAGAAATATATCCCTGTAACTATTTGGTCTGGCAATGCTGTCCCTTTCTGAGCATGGACACAGCATGCACACCCTTTCAAGCAAAGAATAATCTAATTAAAATGTATACTTGCATATGGACATGCTGTGCCACTCCTTTCCAATTTCACTGTAAGGATTACTACAAGAATATGAATACTCCCCCGCCAGCAGCTTAAACAGTTTTCGCTTCACAGCTATTGCTGTTGCTTTCCTTCGTGTCTGTGATACAAACAGCTGTTTCTTCATTAGTCCTGTCGTCCTCCAGAAAAGCACGTGTGCTTCGGAGAAACACAAACAGGACCCTTTTGCCTAACCCACTGAGAAGCACTGGGACCGAAACTCACCCTGCCAGCAGCTTTCACGTACGAAGCTAGCTCTCCTGATGACTGTTCAAACAGAGGCCAAAACCCTGACCCTCTGGAAGAAAATGATAACCTCGTTACTTACTTCAATAGGACTAAATTTCATCCTGGCTTTGTTTCATTGGTATTCCTTCTCCCAGTTCCTTCCTTATTTGTACCTCCTTTTTGGAGTGTGTTGGTGAGCAAATCACAGAGAAGCCACTCAAGCCTTGATAAGGCATTAAGGGGAAGCTGCAGCAGCCACTACCTCGGTCTTCTCCAGAAAGTTAAGAGCTTGTCCCCACCTCAATTCACCAACAGTCTACTTCCTGGTGGGATAAGATGACTCTCATTGATTAAACTCTAGGTTGTAAGTTTCCATGTAGAAACTACAAGTTATATTAAGAGTCTACTCTCTCTTCCGGGACAATGACAGCAATAATAAAACAAACTATTTAAAGCCTCATATTTCTTGCACTCTTAGTTAAGCAGTACAAAAATGTGTCAGGGGGAAAAACCATCAAAGCCCAGTACAACAAGCAATGACTAGTCTACGAGGAACAGATCTATTCCTGCACAATACTGTGGTAGGACTTGGCTCCCTCTTATGCTCCTACCCAGAGACCTATGTTCTCCCTCTCTATCAGCCTGTCACTGCCCACTGAAACAACCTCCTGGCCTACTTCTGGCGACTTTCACAAGCACCAGACCGTTTTTTAGAGCCTGTGCAGTAAAGTTTGCCAACATCCAGGTACAACCCCTTGAAACAAACTGAATGTCCTGCTCCTTTTCAAACACCTGCTGGGTTGGTGCTGTCTAGGAAATCATTGTGTACACAGCGGGATTTGCACCCAGCTACTGGAGATACCAAAAGCTCCTGTCTCTCCTGGACCATGTTCAGAGAGTACTAGTGCACCACAGCATCTTCCAGACACTTTCTGCGCTCAAAGTTAGAAACCCCCTCTTTTGCAGACTCTGAAAAACCTCGTAACTACTATATGGAATGAAACAATCTCTTTTGAAATGGCTGGAAACATCTTGCTGAAATATATGCACCACCTGCATGTTTAATTAGAGGCCTGAGAGGGTGGCCCATTATGCCTTACACTTCTTCAGCTTTTCACTTTGTAGCCCTCATCAGTAAGTTGCCATCAACATCTCCTCATCCCTTTTATTTCTTAAGGACTCTACAGTCTTTCACTGCAGATCAGAGAACAAGTTCTTGAGATGCAATTTACAACTTTCCCCCACTTACTTTTTTTTTTTCTTCACTATTTTGACCCAACCCAATTTTCTCTCACAATTCTCCAAATGCCCCCACCCTGCAAGCTGATAACCCCCTAGAGGTAGAGAACTGAGCAGCAGATAAGCTCAAGAAGCTATACTTTCAGATAGCAGCTCACGACTCCCTCAGCAGTGGAAGCAGTGGGATGTTTGTGTTTAGTATTTTTTTTGTTGATAAAATAGTTTATTTATGTGGCTGGCTGCTGCACATTCTTGAGTGTGCTAACTGAAAGTTTTCAGTTAAGTAAAACTAACTTTATCTCCAAAATGCCCACTTATATCCTTTAACACCAATTACTCTTTCATTTTCTCCCCCTCTCCATCACCACTACCATTTGTTGAGACCTCTTTTACCCTTGCCGTGTCAACAATGACCAACGAGCCTGACCACAGGTCAGTGTCAGCCTCACCTGAAGGCACTCTTGCCTTCCTTCCCAAGTCTCTCCCCAGGGCACCCCTGCAGGAGCGCTCCCATCTTCTCAGAGCCACTTTCTCTTGTTTACTTGAGCTGTGCCTAACCAGTCAGACAAGGAACGACGCTTCTTCCTACATCCTCACCTGGCACCTTTGTTCAATACTCCACGATACACAGCAAGAACAAGCCTATGTCTGTGGTCACCTCCTCAGCTTTGTTAGACAGAGACGCCGCAGGCCAGGAGAATCTGAACGCCCTGAGCCTTTCTGTGCAGCTGCATGACCACGCAGATCCCACAGCCCTGGATGTTTTGGTAACTTCTGTGCTTGCAGCCTGGAGGTAGAGTGCATAACCTTGGAGGAACACACCTCACCCGGTGTCTAACTCTGCACGTCCTCACCTGCACTGCACACGTTCTGGAAGCACGTGGGTCCCCGCCCTACCTGGCAGCCAGGCACGCAGGGCTTTTCATTCGCACTTGCCAGTGACAGAACTGACAGAAAAATGTATTTCTACTGAAAAAAACAAACTAAATGAATCCCTATGAAATCATCTTTATACATCATCACAAAAAACCCAAGAGTATATGTAAAAGTTGTAAAAGTTTTTTGCCCCAGAGCAAAAAAAAAAAAAACCAACACCACTCTAAGGAGTTGCCAATATCTGGAAAGAGTTAAAAGTAGCCTCAACATTTTTTCCCCAAACACAAATCAATGGACCGGACTCAATCACCTAAGTTGTACGTATCAAAGAATCCGCCACAGAAAACCAGCACTCCAAATAAACACCATCAACTGTGGGCACTATTGTACCTTGACAAAACGTAGCATTGATCCTCTTGTAGCCTTGTGGGCATTCCATCACAGGACTGTATCCATGGTAAGCTGAAGAAAAAAATTACATCAGTTAAATACTGCTGATTAATATGCTTATTATTATGTAACTATATATATAAAAAAATTATGATGTATGGTTAAGCAGAAAATGTCAAGAAACTAAAGGTTGTACAGGTAACCTTAATTCCATCTCTTTCCACATGTATACCACTTAGGTCTTCAGTTATCCAGGCAAATTTATATTTTTTTTCCAAAAAAGAAATCTTTGAAATGAGGGCATTACCTTTCATCCTAGCTGTTCTCAAATATCCAAATAATTACTTTGCCAAATCAGCTACAAATACCATGTTGGGAAAAGATAAAAGTTGAAGATTCATGATGGAAACTCGATGGTTTCAAAACAGAAAGCAGCTTCAGAAAGCAGAATTATCTTCAATGTTAAGCAAAATTGTTGGGTACTATTTCTCCTGCCACATTGAATTAAAAAAATATTTTAAATACAGAGGAAATAGATGCAAAGAAACTTTTTTAAAAAGGCAAAAAGAAGAAAGAGACACATTTGTTATTTACCAAACAAAGTTGCTGATTTTTAGAAGACTGTGTCACTTGTTGGCTGATCAGTGTAAACTGTCAAGGGCATAACACCACTGCAAAATACAGACCGAATTCAATTTTGCCAAAATAGAAAGCGTTCAGTTAACTAGTTTTCTATCTCTATTTATTGTTGCTTTCCTCCACTTAAGGTTGCCTTCAAGACTAAAGAAAACTGTTTATTGATTCTTAAACTGTTACAACATCATAAACGAGAGCAGTAACTTCTTCGCGTGGTTATGCGCCGAGAGCCAACCTCTCGGCAAAGCCCCCTACTTCATCAAACATACAGGACTCAACTTTTGGCACTAGGATCCCACAAGCGCCTTTACTAAGAGTCAAGAGAGTTTTTTGTAATTTGAATGCTACAGCAGAGATATCTGACATTGGGTCATAGCTTTTGTTTTCCTTTAAAAGTGTTCTAGATGT